AAATATGAATGCCACATTTGTTGTGCGCTGAGAACCTGCAGTCAACTTGTGCACTGATGTTTATTTTCAAATTAATCATCATCATCATGTGCCAAGAAATCAGTTCTGACTTATGGCAAGCCTTTTCAGGATTTGCTAGGTAGAGAATACTCAGAAGTGGGTTAACATTCCCTTCTTCTGGGGACACCTAGGATTGTGCAGCTTGCCCAAGGCCACACAAGCTAGCTGGACTTGGAAGAGACACAGTGGGGAATCACCCACCCCCCACTCCCTGTCTCTGGTCATGCAGTCAAACCACTTGGCTGTCCAGCCAGCTTGAACAAAACATTAAGCTAAACAAAAATAATTATTTGATACTAATTTATTACTGTGAGCCACTTTGGTTGCAAGGAGCAGGGAGATAGATGATTTAAATGAACATTTCAAAGAGGTAATAAAGTTTAAAGGGAAAACATCTGGTGTTATGTATACACATGGACATAGTTGGATTAGTGGCCTATGAAGAACAAGGTTATGTGGTGAAGTCAGTGCACTGGTGAACATGCCAATTACTCTGATTATGTACGTACAATCTGATGTCATGATATGGCACCCGTTAAATCACCTGTGAGCATTTAAATTTGGCAGAGACAAAATTTGAACCATGAATTCTGCTTTTTACAAAAAAAGGTTCGGCCCAGTTTTATCTGATTATGACTTGTGGCTTGGCAGAACTACAGTACATTGGTGAAAAATATATTTGAAAAACCCTAAGAATTAGAGTGAGACGTAAAATTTGTCTAAAGAAATTAAGAATGCAGGGAGTACTAATTGCGCAGTGCAATACTTTTTATTAAACTATTTTCTTTTTACAATTTATGATATGTCACAGTTTATGGTATCCTGGCACTCTTTGTGTTGCTAGTTGTTCCATAAGAGAGACTAGGATCATTGAGGGTCAAAACACAACGTTAACAAGAGTAGAAATTGCATTCATGTTCAAGAAGTGTGAGTGAGGCAATGTTTGGTGGCTTGAATTTAGACTTGAAAAAGAAGAATGTGCTTGTAAGCTGAAGGCCAATCAGAAAATGAAGCAAGCTAGTTTGCAAACTGTGGAAGTGGGAATTCTCTTGCTATGATAGTCACACATGATCAGCACCTGACGAATTCCTTCTTCTAGTGATGAGTTATCTAATCTATATTTTTCTTTGCCGTCAAGTAAATTCTGATTTATAGCAACCCTTTTCAGGCTTTTCTAGGCAGAGAATACACAGAAGGGGTTTACTATTCCTTTCTTTTGGGGGGCACGCTGGGTCTGCATGGCTATACAGGCTGCTTCTACTTGCAAGAGGCACAGTGGGAAATTGAACTCCCAATATCTGGCTCTTCATCTAGATACCTAACACACTGACCAATCCAGCCAGCTAGTTAATGTATTATACTGTAGTTCAAGCCTAAATGACCAGTGATGGTTGGAATGACACTCTGTGGTTGGACTTTGAAATGTGTATACAGTAATCTATTGGAGGGAAGTGGGATCTGAATTTGGTTCTGTCTCCTGAGCACAGTTGAAATCGAGGTAGCTAGGAATGCATGTTAGGTTTTATCGGCTTAGCTACAGCTAAGTAAGCTTGTGAGTGTTTTGCTGAACTGCTGAAGGAAGTAAAAAAATAGAGGAATTTTTGTTTTTCTTTGAGCTTTGTGGAACTTCAAAGCACAGGAAATGATATAGCTTTGGTCTGTCTGTATCTGCTGGTATCACACTGTCATTTTTTACAAATTGAACATAGGCGTGTGTCACAAAAAAGTAACAGTTCACTGAAGCATCAGAGCATGTTCTGTGTGTGGGAGGAAGAGAGAGCAAGTGAAAGAGAATTGGTTAATGGACAATGAAAGAAAAAAAAACACATAGAGAAGATAAGGGCGTGGGGCTAATGAAAAAGATGGCATTGCACATTTTTAGCTTTGCCCCCTGTTCGCTTGGTTTGTGATGTTCAAGGAAATATGGCCCTTGACATCAAAAAGGTTGACCATCCTTGGCTCTGGAGGAAACTAAGGTGCGATGGTACAACTATTGATGGTCAAAGGAGGGAAAATGTGCATGAACACCTCCCCTCCCCACAGAGAGACATGGGTTTCTTCTTCTTGTGATTTAAAAAGGAATGGGAAAACATAGTGCTTGTCACACAACATTGGGGCATCCCACTAGTGTAAATAAAACATAGTATGGGATATAACTGCAGGAAAGAGAATTATGTCCTTTGTTTTAGTGCCACTTCTGCTGGTTGCAGAATAGCACTTTTCTGAAGCAGTAGAAGAATGGATGCCTCCTCCGAGTGCTGTTTACCAGCCCCCATTGATTACCAGCTTCACCTTCTCTTGGAAAATAAGCACCTAGAGAATGTTTTTCACATTCTTTAAACTCAGCTTCACTACTACAGAAAGCCACATGTGGAGCTTACTCTGAAAACAGTCCAGAAAATACATCTGGTTCTGGATCTGGCAGAGTGAGTTCCAACAGGGGCCAAGTCCTGTGCTGCAGATATATTACAAATGTTGCACTGATGGACATTTTATTTCTGGGGTAAATTGAAGATGCTGGTTTCAAAGACCTCTTGAGTCTTGGATCCAGAGTATGTGAGAGGTCTCCATGTAAGTTCCCCAGTGTGCATGAAATGAGGGCCTCTTGAAAATGCTACTACCATGGGCACGGGGATGAGTCAAAACAGTTGGGAAGTAATCTTTTTAGGGGTTGCTTCTTGGCTTTGGGGTTCAATTCTGCCACTGGTCCTCTCGGAAGTGTCACATTTAGACAGAGCTTTGGACTACTCTAACTCTTTGGGGAAGAGTTGGCAGGGTTTAATCTGACCTCAACAAGCGTGCTGCTGAGTTTTGCATTATGTTGTGATATGTGTTGAGAATGTGTTAGAAATTGGCTGTAAATTTTGAAATGGCTTCATTTGTGGGTGGGTAACAGCAGTCATTCAAAATATATTGATTATTGGTTCCCCAATGATTATTGGTTCAGCTCAATGATCCATAGGGTGCCTTCCAGATCTGCAGTTTTAAGATGACAATGATCATGATGATCATGATGATGTGACCCCTTTCCAGTTATGAGGGTTAATTTTTTTTTGCCCATCTTGGATAGCACCCTGGATTATGAGGTAGTTGGTATAATTTTGGTCCTATACGTAGGTAAAAAAACAATTTAATGTTTGGCGAGGATAAAGTATTAAGTTACCTGTGATTCTGACTTTCCTCTGACTGCAGGAAATCAGCTCACAGTAGAACACAGCAGTGGTTTGGCATTTTAAATTAAAGAGAAATTATGCTACACAGCAAGCAGATTAACTCTTCTCTGCCTTTCATGCATTATTCTCTTTCTCCTTCCTTAAGAACTGTATTTTTTTAACCCTGCCTCTTCCAACAATTACTTGCATTCTATTCCTCAAGTGCATTATCTTAAAGAACATAACCGGGGACTTAAGCATCTGCTTCGCTTTGTGTTGCTGGAATAGGCCTGTGGGGGCAGGGGAAGCACACAAAAGGAGAGAAAAGCAATAGCTTGTCTTACAGCGCTCTCTTTTGGTGACTGGAAAGAATGGCAATTGTTTCTCTTTTTAATTGCTATTTTAAGATGATTTAAACTTTTAAAAGTTATATGTTACTTTGCTTTAGTTGAACATAACTCCCCCACATCTTCCCTTTATTTTCTCTTCTCCTCTTATGCTTGCATGTTTTATTTATTAAGAGTTGACCAAATACTTACGACATCTTTTTTCATCTACCCCATGCTGACCAATAATCTCACTGAATGTTCAGATTGGACAATGGCTGAATTGTACAATGAACTCACAAGCCTGTCTAGAGGCAGAGTAGTGATGACAACAAAAGACAGAAGGTGAACACAAGCCATCTGTTTAGGGTCAGCTATCTAGGTGTAAAGAACATTTTCAAAAAATGAGAAAAATTGTCAAGGGGAACCTTAACCTTTAGCTTTATCTGGGTGTAAAGAACATTTTCAAAAAATGAGTGATGACTAAAAATACCTGCACTGAATATTTATTTTACAGCGGGTATGAGAGTCTTGTACATTACAGTTTTACAGATTTCCTAGTATTTGCCTTGTAAGAAGAGAATGGTATTTGGATTTCCCTCTTAGCAACGGAGGCCAGAGGCTTGTTTATCTGTGTTCATGCCTTATACACCAGCTAAATGAGGGATTTTACGGTTCGCAGTTTCAAGGAACAGAGGGAAGATTCAGGCTGAAGCTTTCTGGATCCTGGCCTGTGTGCTGCATACATCACAGTGCAAGATTTTTAAAAACAAATTTATCTTGCACGTTTAATTCTGTAGCATAGCTCCATATTTCATCGTGAAAGGTAATGACAGAAATAATATCTGATTCCTTATTTGATAGTAAGGAGTAACCTATCATTTGTATGTCAAAATTCATTATATAATTTTGTAGATTTCATGTACTGCTTTCTGGGCTCTTGGTTAAGATCCACTGTGTGTTATCTATTGGGAAACATGTTGTCTATATGAATAATATTAAATTTAAGCTTCCCTTCTTGTAATTATCACATTATAATCATTATTAATGATTTAGATGCAAGTCCTACTGAATTCTGTAGGCTATATTCCTAGTTAAGTACGTTTAGTATTACAATCAGTTTTTTCCAAACTATCTTCAAATAATTTTACCAAGTGTATTAACAAAACAACTGAGCATAGCTAAGCCCATGCTTGTGTAAAGGGACCTAGAAAAAACATTTATGAGTGCGGTTGCCTGAAATTGTAAGCACTGGAACAACAAGGTATCAGTCAAAGCATATTTGTGGCAGTTCTATTTAAATCAATTGATACGTAGTCTAAAAAAGGTTTTGAGTACAGTATTTAGTAAGTATTTCTTTTTTACTTGTTGGCTATTAGCACTGATGGCATAAATGCATTTGAAATTATCCTGTAATTTTTGCCCCTTAAAACTAAACAAATCTTTTCAACTCCTTCTGCAGGTTATAGAAACATTATCCAAGCTTTCTCGCACACCCGCTGCATTAGCTACAGGAATAAGGTACAACTCAATTATGGATTGTGGTTTGAATGTTGACTTTTGGTCCTAGCACAAATAGGTTTCATGAAATATATCAAGCTAGCAAAAAAAATCTGCAGATAGATTGAAGACAAATTTCATCTACAATTATTTTTTTAAAAAATAAATATATATACACAGTAGAGTGGAACAGTGCTTTTATTTAAAACTGCTCTGCTAGGGCATATAAAAATATTTCAATATGCATTCACCATGGAGACAGGAGATGAATATAGAAGGAAATACAGTGGGGTCTTGACTTGAGAACTTAATCCGTATTGGAAGGCGGTTCTCAAGTCAAAAAGTTCTCAGGTCAAATCTGCATTTCCCATAAGAATACATTGAAAACCATTTGATCCGTATCTGCTCTTTTCCGTCCATAGAAACTAATGGAGAGCTGCTATTCCGCCTTCGACCACTTGTTTCTTTTTTTTTCTTAGGTCAAGAAAGGTTCAGGGAAGGCAGGGAAAATACAGTCTAGGCAGTACCAGGCAGTCTGAAGACTGTCTCCCAATTCACTCTCTAAACACTGGGAGGAGTGAGGAAGCAGACAGGCACCCTTTTCACTGGCCAACAGTTAACTGAAAGTTCACATTTTGCACTTTCCCTGCCTCCCACGTGGGTTTTTTTCAGTTCTTAACTCAAATCTAAGTATGTAAGTCAAGTCAATATTTTCCTATGAGAGTGGTTATTACGTCAAAATGTTCTTAACTCAAGCTGTTCTTAAGTCAAGACCCCACTGTATAAACATAGTGACACTGACTGAGGTAAAAACAACAATATAAAGTGTTCAGAATTTGTACTGCCTAGTTTTTAATATATAAAATAAACTGAATGACTTTACCATGCAGAAGAGGGTTCAGATGGCTTGGAAATTTGCTAATTTTTCACATGGGGATTTGGCAATGGCAATGTTGAATTTTGGCAAAGGGATTTTAAAAATCTGATGAGTGAAGAGATCTTCATGCAGTTCTGCAGTGAAGACTGTAGCTGTAGAAAAATTAACACGCTCCAACTTATAAACTTGAGATATGAGGAAACATCTCGTGACTATACCGCAATCCTTTCTTCTTTTCTTCTGGTCCCAGGATTTATATCCACAAATAGAGGATGAAACTTGATATTAGGAGGAATGTGTTGTAATCTCGAGATTAGACCACTGTAATACGCTCTACATGGGGCTACCTTTGAGGCTGATGCGGAAACTCCAAATGGTGCAGAATGCGGTGGCCAGACTCCTTAGTGGAGTGAGAAAATATCATCATATTTCTCCCACTCTGGCCACTTTGTACTGGCTGCCCATTCGGTTCCACGTTGACGTCAAAGTTTTAATGCTTACGTATGTATAAAGCCCTAAACGGTTTAGGGCCTTGATATATGGCGGAACGCCTACTCCCACCAAGGTCTACTTGTATCACCTGCGCGAGTCAGGAGGTGAGGCTGAGGAGCCTGACGCCGAGAGAGGCCCAGAAGGAAAGAACTAGAAACCGGGCCTTCTTGGCAGTGGCTCCTCGCCTCTGGAACACTCTCCCTCCGGCGATTCGCGCGGCCCCCTTGCTGGGTATTGTCAAAAACCAACTAAAAACATGGATGTTCGTGCAGGCCTTCCCTCCAGTTAACCCTTGATTTCTTTTCTTTTCTTTTTCTCTCCTTTTCTTCTTTGCCATCTTGAATAATTTATAAATTTTTAGCCTATGTTATGATTTTTATGTGTGTATATTTGTATGTTTTTATCTATGCATTGGAAGCCGCCGAGAGTGGTCGGAAGACCAGATGGGCGGGGTATAAATTAAATAAATAATAAATAAATAAATATCTCCTCCTGTTAACAGTTTTGCCATCCAGCAGTGAGATTTTTTCAGAGCTGCATGTGTTAGCAGTCTGATTTCCATATCAACCATGTTCAGCTTATAAAGACCAATCATAAAACAAACAGTACTAAATGCAAGGTACAAAGGTGAGGAAAATCAGGAACCATAACAAAGAGATTACTTTCACCACTTGAGGGAGTACCTCTGCCAAATAGCATATTATGATTCTAGTTGATTTGGATCCCTTTAACCATAATGACCTTGTTCTGACAAAATGAGAAACTAAAGTTATTTGGGAACTCCCTGGTTTATCATAGCGTCCATTGCAAGGAGAGAGTAGATAGGCAAAAGGTATGAGCATATCTTCACTCATCAAGCTATTACGATGACTTGAACTGGGCTGATGTGTGAGGTTATAGAGATATTTGCAACTAGCAGCTTTGGGTTCTGTTATTGAGTTATCTTGAGCTGTTTATTTTTCAGTTGACTGTATATTTGGTGCATATGCAACTAATGAGTTTGGAAGGAAGTTCAAGATCATGCACTCTCTCTTCTGTCTGGCGTGTATCACTGCTTTCCTTAACAGTTATTAATCATTGCAGTGGTAGTTACGTTGATTGCAGTTCAGCCAAGTTCGCATGCAAGTAGAATTGGAAAGTAGCTTCAAATTGAAGGGAAGAGAAATCCTGACAATGATTTCATATTTATTTATTCCTTTTTATGCTCCATTGGAATGAAAAAAATCATGAAACCATAGCAGTGTTCATTAGGAGTGAGGAAAAACATGTTTACATGTAACTCTTGTCCTCTGTTTAGACATTTATAAGAAAAGACAGAAACAAAGAATCCCTCCCTTTTACGAGCTTTGCATTTGAAGATTCACGCTTACTTGACACATTTTGAATCCCTGAGTCCACATTCCTTGACTCGCATGCCTCCAAGCAGCTATGCAGAGCCACAGAATGATCTCCAGCTACGCTACTCCATTAATCCAGTGTCATTCCCAACTGGAGTGGACCACTTAAAATTAGTAGAACATACGTTGCTTGTGACTAAAAAATCTTAAGTCATTTCAGTAGGCCTACTCTAGCTGGAACTAATATTAGATTTAAGCACCATCTATCCTGAGGCCATATTGTTGTACTGCGCTCTGTGTGTACTGTTATTGTGGATACTAGTGTGCTTTCTCTACTATGCTCTAACTATATTGAAGTGGCAGTTATGCTTATGTGAATAATTTCACTCTATTGCAGTTACCGGCAGTGTGTATCAGGTGTATATGGCTCTGCTCTATTTAGATACTCCATTTAATAGATGTGGGGTATGCATACAGAGCACAAACATATCCATAGGTTTTAATATGAGCTTAGCATCTCTAGGGAAGAGTGAACATTGGGGTGGATGCTGTTGATGGCATGTCTTTTCTCTTTTATCTCCACAGGCCCTTTCCAACAGAAGAAAGTGTGAATGATGAAGACATCTACAAAGGCCTTCCAGATTTATTAGAGTAGGTTGTAAATTGGTTTAGTATAAAAGCTCTCTTTAGTGTTCCTGTTATATAAATGAAGTAATGGAACGTTTCATTCTATAAGAACTCTTTTGAAAATGTCTAGCCTAATGTGCACTCTGTACTGGGTTGCACTTGTGGTTGTGAAGCTTTTGACACTGATTCCTTATTGTTAAGGCGCACGACTAAACAACGACGACGATGCTTAAAATCATTCAGGGTTCTAACCTAGTCTAGTAACCTAGTCCTTTCTGTTCAGAAAAAGAAATGAAAAACTGGGGTAAAATAGAAGTCTGAGAGTATAGGTAAGCTGTGAAAATGAGGAATCCTTAAGGACGATTAGAGGAAGGATGCCGTTTGTTTTGCTGACATCCCCAAATATTAACAGTATAAATTCTCACTTTTCTCCTTGCATACAAGGACGAGACACTGCAACACTCTCCTTTTTACAATGGACCAGAATTTCCCCAGCTGTCTTGATTGAACTCTTGCATTGGCAAGAACAATATTTTGTGCAAGAATGGGCCCATCCTGCCCAAAATAGTTTCCATTGTTGCACAAACATATGCCCATTCTCACACCAAATTTAGTGCAAATGATGCGAATGGCACAAAACTACCGTAGGTGCTGCTTTGTTTGTCTCTTCATTGAAGGGCAGCCAGTCCTTTTTACTTGCTGTAAAGGCCCATCCCTTCTGAGGTCCTTAGCTCTAAGTGTGTGTGTGTGTGTGTGTGTGTGTGTGTGTGTGTGTGTGTGTGTGTGTGTGTCTTTGCACACGTGTGCACTTTGCTTCTCAAAGGGAAAGGACACTAGATACCTTTTATGCAAATTGCAGTGGCCTTGAAGAGGGCAAAAAGAGTTCTTCCTCTGTTGCAACTACAAGCAAGGATATAAAATTCTTGTCAAGATGTCTGACTCTGTTAGGTCAGCGTAAACTGAGGAGCATGAGAGATCCACTGAGTATTCTTTCCATTCCTTCCTTACAATGTTTGCAGCCTGGTTTTCAAACTGCTTTGAATTTGACTGGATACAGGTTTCCCTATTTAGAAATGTATGCATCTTGAGTCTCTCTTCTTTTCCCTGGATTAAAGTTGAATGGTCCTATTTTTTCATCAGTGTATCTGTGTATTGAAATTAGGCTGGCAATTATTTTTTAATTCTAGCATAAGATGAGAAATTCTGTCTTTTGTCTTCATTTGGAAGGTAAGATGTAAACATTTCAAGAATAGAAACATTCAGTTAATTCAACCACCTCACACTACTTCTACCATATGGTGCAATTCCCAATTCAAGTCTGTCTTTTTTCAAGATCCCATTGTAGCGTCTGTTTCCTTGAATGTGTGCAGTAGCTTTCATTAGTTACCATAGGCAAACTCTCACTGAGTGAAATGAGAAATATCCAAATTATGGAAAACGGGAGATGCAGAGGAATGGGATGGGGGAGGAAGAAGGTATGTGCTTCACCCTACCCAAAAGCTGTGACTGTAGGATGTCTTCCTTCATATCCTTGTTCATTCTAGATTTTAGTTTGAAGTTAGGATACTCAGCATTTGCAGATTATTGACCTAGGTTAACATTAGCGAACCCCAGGTTTTTGTTCCATTTTGTTTACTTTAGATCCATCAACATAGACCGCATATCTGTACTAAATTATCATTATCCCCAAGCATTTCTAGATACTTAAGGTGATGGTCTTCCATACTGATGACTCATACTGAGATTAAATAGTGACAGGCTGAGACCATTTAGCTTGCTTTGATTATATCTCAGGATAATTTACAGGAAACAAGGCTGGTCTGGTCAGAGAGGCTCCTGTCAAGTTGGGGAATGGTTGCTTGGTAGCTCATATTGTAGAGGGTAAGATGTAATGCTAAATTATATAGCATTTACAGGGATGTGGCTAGCTCCCTCCCCATAAGCTTGTATGCTTTCCGTTTTCCCTCCTCCTGTGGCAGGGCTACATGAAATTTGAAATTATTGCTTTTTAATACAAATATGAACACGTTGTAGCAAATCCTAATAATGGTTACTAGGAAACCAGGCTGTTTTCACTAACCATAAGAAGAGAATCACAGTTTAGGCTTTGAATGAATGGAACAGACACTTCTGGCAGATGTAAAAACCAGGGATCCTCCCCTACTTTGGTTTTTTTGTTTGTTTGTTTTTTGCCCTGGGACTTTGTGGGGATAACACAGACTGCCAAGATGTGTGTGGGGTGTAGGATGGGGGGAAAAACTGGAAGAAGAGAGGAAGTCAACTGCTAGTTTGAAAAATGGGTCCTCTGGAGTTTTAAATGGTTTAGGCAGGTGGTGAGACATGTTTAAAAACTGAATTGCTACTTCTGGAGGCTTCTAGATGCTGAAAGTAATTGTTTTCCTGCTGGACAAAAGAAGGTTGAGGGAAGATTGGAACCCCCCCCCAAAAAAAACAGCCTTGGGGGCTTTATGGTTTTACCCAACCTTATGTTAACTGGAGGTTAATTTAAAACAGAAACAAAAGCTTCTTACCCCCTCCTTTCAGCCACACTGTAAAGAGGAGTGTACTAATTCTCATGTTTATTAAAATCTGAAAGTTCTGTAAATCATGTTGTATGTTCATAATTTTGTTGTCTTCTTTCTTTCTGTGTTGTGCTTTTAGTGAAACAGGTGTTGATGAGGATGAAGACCTTTATGATTGTGTTTACGGAGAAGATGAAGGTGGTGAAGTTTATGAAGACCTCATGAAAGCTGAAGCAGCCCATCAGCCTGTATGATTCACAATTATTGAAGTTGGGACAGGATTCTGAAAAATAGGAATGCTAGAAACATTAGACCATGAAATGAACAAAATTAAGCACATTTATTAAATCCTTTTAATATCAGTTGGGATATTAAGTGTGTAGTAAACATTATATTTGCAAAAAACAATGAGACTTAAAAGGTATTTAGTTTGTGATGGATTTTGCTCTTAGTGGTTTTCACTGGTTTGTTTCTGTCAAATAGTGGAGTACATAAAATTAAATGTATTAAGATGGCAATCAGTGTAACTTTTAACAGCACTAGTTCAGGCTGTTCTCTGTTACTAATTAGACTGCACTGCCGTATACTGTGTAAATTATTTGGAACTTTGTCTCCTGCTAAAATAGCAAGTAGATAGTGCACAGGTATTGTATAAGGTTAAGTACAGTGGTGCCTCATTTTACAGTCGCTCTGTTTAACGACGAAACCACATTACGATGAACTTTTTGCGATTGCTTTTGCGATTGCTTTACGATGTTTCCTATGGGGGAATTTCGCTTTGCGATGATCGGTTCCCTGCTTCGGGAACCGATTCTTCGCAAAACGATGATTTTCCAACAGCTGATCTGCGGTTTCAAAATGGCCACTGGGTAAACAAAATGGCCCCTGCTGTTTTCTGGGACGGATTCCTCACATTACAGGTAGTGAAAATGGCCGCCCTATGGAGGATCTTTGCTGGACGGTGAGTTTCCAGCCAATCGGAATGCATTAAACGGGTTTTAATGCGTTTCTATGGGCTTTTTAATTTCGCTTTACAATGTTTTCGCTCTGCAGTGATTTTGCTGGAACGAATTAACATTGTTAAGTGAGGCACCACTGTAGTTGGTTTACTCAATGTTTTGGATGCAGAGTTCAACCCAAACTTCTTAGAGAAGCTTAACATAACATTAAAGCCCAGTCAAAGTACAATAATAATCCCTAATGGCTGATGAAACATAGCATTTAAGTAATATTCTGGAGCCAATAGTATAGACTAAAACAGAGTTTTGAAAAATCATTAAAAAATCAGAAAAATCTTTGTCTGGCATCAAAAAGACAACAGCATAAGCACCAGGAGAGGCTTTTTGGGAAGGCGTTTCATAGTTGGTGTGAAGGTCATTTCATGTATTGCTATCACCTGTTAGGGGCCCTCAGAGGTCCAAACAGCGATTTTGGATGGAGATTAAACTTCACTTACTTATATATGTCTGCTATTACAGACTCATCAGGTTTGACTGATGAGAGGCACATCCCTGTGTCTCTGGCCACCAAAACATTAGAATTCCTGCACTTTGCTATCATGTGTAGTGGGGACTTTGCAGGATATTGAAATAACAAGACAACAACAGCTGTTTGTCCGCCCCTGTTTGCCTAGCCTTGTCTCCTTTATGAGGATCCTCTTTGTCTACAGTATGATGTGGCCAAGCTGTCTTATACATCCCAAATAATCAAACTCAAAAATTTTCCCTGCTGATTATCAAAGTTTTCAAGGCAGCCAACAATGACAGTGTAGCATGTTCTAGGTGGAAAGGATTCCAGATCAGCATGTGTAATGTCTACAAATAATATCTTGTTGATTTGGCAGAAATGTCCAGAAAATGATATAAGGAGCTGCTGCCTTTCTGAAATAAAACAGACAGAAGAGAAATACACAGAAACTTTGGAGTCTATTGAAAAGGTAAAGGCACATCCTTCTTGTTTGCTGGTGTGGCACTGGGAAATGTTAGTGAATCTTGTGGAAGGGGACAGATGCATAGCTGGTGTGAAAGCCTGTTCTTGAATATACTGAATTTACATTATGAAATCACTTGGAATTTTAAGAACTTTTGTCCCCCACCATGGCCCAGTTTTATATCATAATAAATCTACTCATATGATCCGTAGAAGACAAACAGTATTCCACCTGCCATTTTGAAAAAATCTCTTTTCACATATAGGATACCTAGCAAGGTGGATAAAAATCAAATTGATTTAAATCATGATGAATTTTTAAAAAATATTGTTTTGATTTAATTTGTCAAAAATTCTATTTTTAAATTTAAATTTAGTGATTTAAATCAAATTCATCCTGATATCCATTAAGTTGGTTTATCTGTAACTCCCAAGCTCTGGGGCCAAGTCAAATTCTGATTTACGGTGACCCATTTCAGGGTTTTCTGGGAAGAGAGTACTTAGAAGTGGTTTACCATTCCCTCCTACTGGGGGCACCCTGGGACTGTGTAGCTTGCCCAAGGCCATACACTTTTGCTAATGCCATGATTAGGTGTCCTGACCTGGGACTCTCTTTGGAGCATCTTTCTAGAGTACATGAGATAGCTGTCAGGAGGTGTGGGGAATGATGTTCCTAATGCTGCTGACACTGGATTCCCAAGCACGTCACTGGATCTTGGTCTGCATCCTGAGAGAGAAATGAAGCAGTCAGAGCATCCCATGCAGCATATAGTGCTGAACAGCTGAGAGGCTTCTCTCTCTCTCTCTCTCTCTGAAACATCTACTGCCGTGATTTTGCCTTTTTCTAGTCAGCTTTCACCATAGATCAGGAAAAGTGCTGTAATAAATGTTCTACAGCAAGAACTTTCAGCTTAAAGACAGTATCTTGTGGCACCTTAAAGAGGAACAAGTTTCATTTGATAAGCTGTAGTGGAAAGTAGCCCTCAAAAATGTTTGCCAAATTCAGACAATTAGTCTTTAAGTTGCCACAAGACTCCTTGTTGTTTTTATGCCCTTAGAAAACTTACAACTTTACATTCAAGAGTAGGATGATGGGCAGGCAGAGATAGTTTCACTGGGACCAATCTTCATCGCATGTATCTGCTGTCTCTTAAAGATATTCAGTCATTTTTGTCACAGAAACATGATAAGCAACATCAGTTATTGTCCAAAGATGGACCCCATTGCATCTCTGTATGAGTGCCTGCTCTGTATTTGCCTCTTCTGAAAAGAAAGGTGTATTAAGACCCCTTTCTTTACAGAAACACAAATAAGGAGCCTTGATGTGGATGTGTAATTCTTCCTGTCACATGCTTCTATTTAGAATAACAAGTGTTTCTCAGCTATTGGAAGTCTGGGAAATGTTGGTTAATGTCAGCCATTGTTCAAGGCTAAATCTAGTCTGTAGTCCAAAATGGGATACACTCATTGTATCAGTGGAAATTCTGAATTCAACACTTCTTGGTTCAGTGGGTCTGCCCTTATTGGGACAAGCAGTTGGATTTGGGCCTTAGCATGTAAAGTCTCAATGAGTTGGCTCGTGATGCCATTACCCCTGTACATCTAGCACACGAGGTAACAACTGCTATCATTTATTTTCCCTCATTGAAAGGCATATATTTTATAAATGCCTTTAAAAAATGTGTAGCTAAATAAGTAAACAAGATTTCTTGTTATTTGTTTCTCTTGCAGTTTTTTATGGTACCATTGAAGAGGTTTCTGATGACAACTGATTTTGAGACAATATTCATCAATATTCCTGTATGTAATGAATCGAAGGACTGTGTACATTTGTTTGCCACTTACAGTTGGGTAGATATATGCAAAGTAATGCTTGAAAGTGCAGGTTGGACTCAGATGCTGTATACACAAGGGGTTTCCTCCTAGCTTCACACTTAAATAGATGGGCTTTGTGAACTAAAAGCTGACTTAGCCGTGTCTTCCCACTTCCCACTTACCCACCCAATTGCTAACTGCTTGTATCTGGCTGAGGTTTAGAAAATATACTGCAGTCAGTTGCATGGGAAGGGGGGGGGGAACTTGGGTAAAGTGAGAAAATTAGATTTCTGCCATTTACCGGATTGTTTTTGGGGTGTAAGGGTGAAGGAGAGAGATGAATGTAACTTTCTGTTTCATGCAAGGCTCATGATGGGAGGAAGAAACAGCTTCCTCCTATCATAGCTGCTTAGCAGCAGGATGCTTTATTAACTTTTCCCAGCTGTGCAAGGAGAAGGGGGCAGGTAGATGAGTGAGTGAAATGGGTAACATTCATGTTTGAATTTGCATTCAATTCCCTGCTGTGCATTCCTTACCCTCAGTTCTAAAGCTGAGTTTTGGGTGTGATCAGGAAATGCTCTGGAACTCTTTTTTGAATGGATTGATTAATTACATTTTTACCCTCATTTCAGCAAGACTGGCTCCTGAAGTGATTTATAAATGGCTGTATAAAGTTATTTATTCCCATTACAGTCTAGAGTGTCTGACTAGGACTCTGGAGAACAGGGTTCATGTCTCCACTCAGCCATGAAAACTCACTGGGGGAGTGGAACTGGTAATACTACTCCTTAAATACCTCATGTACCTTGAAACCCCTATTAGGGTTGCTCTATGTGGGTTCTGACTTGAGGCACTTAATACAGACCACACAAAATTATTATGGTGTAAGCAGGAAGGTGTGAAGTTTTTCACAGCAGTGTTTTAAACATGTTGTTTCCTGCATGTGGAGCTGCTTTTGCTACAGTTTCCTTGGCTAGCTTTCTTCTTCCATGTGTTTGAAATTATAGCAAATTTCTGACTGGCCAATCAAAATGAAACAGAACAAGCACAATTAAAAATCTCCTTGCAGGTTTCCAGAGGTATTTTTTTCCCAACCCTATAAGTGTAAAGATTTGAATATAGAGCCTTCTGTGTGCAATAAGCTGTTTTTGAGCTTCGTGTAATACCGGGGTGTGTGCTAATGCTATACAGTACTTATGCAGAACAATATTTGTATTATTTGTATAAAGTTAAGATATCTGTATCTTCTATCATGAAGTATCCCAGCTGGCTGACTAGCCACAATGCAACTTTGCAACTACAGTATATCTGTTGCTACAACAGCCGGTGTACATATTTCCCCCTTTCTAATGTGTTTACTACTTGGGAACTAAGTTATCAAATGTCAGAGAGATCTTAAACATAATACAAGCATACCAGAATAGATAATGAGTTCTAGTTTGTTCTGTTCCTTAATACACCAGACAGGTGAACTTTTCAGGAACAGGATGTTAAAGGAAGACTTTTTAAAAAATCCCTTAAGATGGTGTCTGTAAGTACAAAATGAGAAGTCGGTGTTACTGGGGTACCATAGCTGCCAGCAGAGTGGGGTTTGTGTGTGTGCGCATGCTCATGCATAAACTATGTGTGCATGCATATGAATACACATTGATGACAGCTGATGTACACAGTTACAGCCAAAAATTCAGGCCAGTTCTTTCACCATCATCTCTTTAGTATGGCAGATGGATATTGCTGTGGCTAGCTCACCTTTAGAACCTTCCTAGTCCAGAAAGGAGGACAACGCCCATCCCTTCTGAGGTCCTTAGCTCTAAAAGTGTGTGTGTGTGTGTGTGTGTGTGTGTGTGTGTGTGTGTGAGAGAGAGAGAGAGAGAGAGAGAGAGAGAGAGAATGGCCTAAATCTGCTTGGTAGCAGATGGAGTAAACCCATTGAAATCAAGTCAACAGTTGAAAATGACATTGATTCAACAGGAACTCTTTTTTGAAGAGTTCACTACTCTAGCTGTTTTACTCAATTGCTGGCAGCAGCCCAAATGCTCCCACAGTTTAAAGGTGGAAGGCTGCCTGTTCGTCTTACTCCACCACCAACATCATGCTGTCCCCTGCCACCTTCTCTCCTCCCCTTGCATTGCACAGCGCTACTCCGGTACGCTCACCTACTCTTCTCTCATTTCTAAAAGCAGAGGTGGGAGGACTCAGATGAGAGCAGTGCTGGTTACTTTCTAGTGGCTAGAATTATTTTGATCTGACAGTGATGCATATGGGCTATGAAACTTGTGAATACCTCTAAAGGAACAAATGTTTACATCTACAAATCCCCCTTTGAATTTCAGACCTAGGCCAAATGACTTTCCCTCCTTTCCCCCAATTCAACTGCCCTTAAGATTGTTTCTGGTTGTGAAAGCACTTAATTGTCAACCATAGCATATAGTACCTAACTCACACACCTTCTGTTTTTCTTACTTAACAGCTTCTCAAATAAACAGCTGTGTATTTTGATAGTAAAGACACCTGGAAAAAAACTCTTTAACATACACATTGCAAGTTGTAATGTTTATTGCTTTCCCACTCTGCTTGCCTCAGCGCCTCTTGTTTCTGGAGGAGCCCATTAAGGTTGCAGTTCACTTGCCAGTATGTTCCTATTAAGCTGCCCAGTGTAATTTGCAAAAATAATTTTGTCAAAGTGCTGTGGTGTGAATCATTAATTATTTTATCTCTAAAGCCTGGAGCTTGTGTAGCACTGTGTGGCGTTAAGAGACCAGCACTGTGCTGAACAGTCACATGCTATTTTCCATTTTGTTTTTTCCTTTTCCTTGAGCAAATAGATCTGATTTCCTGTGCCTAGATCTTTCATTATAGACGTGGGGAGAACCCTAAATCCTGATAAAGAATGTTCCTCTGATCAGAAATGGAGCTTCTATTTTTATTATTTATTTATTATTTTATTTATTCCATTTATACCCTGCCTATCTGGTCAATTTTGACCACTCTAGGCGGCTTACACCACAAAAAACAAAATACAGGAACAATATATAAATAAAAAGGAATCTGTACACAATTAAAAATTCTATAAGATGGGAAAGCTTCCTGGGTTCCTTTTAACTAGGACAGACAATATTTAAATACAGCAATAGATCTGGGAAGAAGGAGCTGTACAAATTAATATGTTGGCAGGAGAAGATATAGACATGACTTCTAATACCTTACACCCATAATACCATGAAAATAATGTAAGCCCCAGGCCTCAAAAGTTTCTTTGAGTTAAAAGATTTTGGCTTTATTATAAATACTGAGGAAATGTGTGTGTATATATATATATATATACTAGTGTGTACACACATACATTTCCTCAGTATTTATAATAAAGCCTATCTATATCTATATCTATATCTATATCTATATAGTGAGTATATACCCATACTGTATCTTTTTTTTAAGTAGCATCGCAAACTTCCCCACTCACTCACTCACTCACTCACTCACTCACTCACTCACTCACTCACTCACTCACTCACTCACTCACTCACTCACTCACTCACTCACTCACTCACTCACTCACTCACTCACTCACTCACTCACTCACTCACTCACTCACTCACTCACTCACTCACTCACTCACTCACTCACTCACTCACTCACTCACTCACTCACTCACTCACTCACTCACTCACTCACTCACTCACTCACTCACTCACTCACTCACTCACTCACTCACTCACTCACTCACT